CTATATACTAAGTGACCCAGGAGACACACTCGGATGGCATTGAAGAGCAGGAGTCCTCTGGAAATGAGAAGGTCAACTAGATAGGCCACTCAGAATAAGAAATATCTAAAATCATGGAGAATAGAAAATTTTAAAGTTCCTATATACCAAGGAAAAATCTGATTATGTTGTAGCCATGACAACAGATAGCCACCAGAACTGGTTTTAATTCAATTTAATCAACCAGTGTTAACTTGCTTTGGTGAACACCCTTGTATAATCCAAATAATCAGTGACAGTTCTCTTTTGAAAGTCAGACAATTAGGTGTAGGTTCACCCCAATGAACAAGCTTCTGATTCACCCCAATGAACAAGCTTCTAAAAGCCAGTTTATCGATTACGCGCTTACTCAAGTAACCATGTTTCTATAGCTGACATCAACCCATCTTTGAAACCCCACTCACTCCCTGCTTCAATATTCCCCAGAAGCCTTGTATAGAATAAGTCCAATATTATGCCCAGAGAGGATGTAGCTAAATAGCACAGCTCTCCCTTACTTAAGTAAGCTATAAATTCAGCAGTGTGTGTGTGTGTGTGTGTGTCTGTGTGTATGCATGTGTGTGTTTCCAGACATTAAGTGGTAGTCTCATACTTTGATATCATTCAAAGTTAAACATGTGCCATTGGATGGGAAAGCCATGCTAAGGAATTTTAAGAGGTATGGCAATAACTAAAAGACATGATTTAACTAACACTGGACGGAGCCATGAAGGACAACTGTGCCTACTCCCAGCCAATGCCTTTAGGAATTGCTTCCTGATTCTGATTCCAACAAGCTTTTTGACCCTGTGCAACTTATTTAAATTTTCTTAGTTTCTCATTCCTTATCTGTAAAACAGATAGGATACTATCTATGTGAATATGATTTCTAAATTACATAATAATAGTGTTATAAATAATACTGTATTCAAAGGTCGTAAATACTGGTTCACACAACCCCATTTGCTCTGGAAGTATGAAAAAGATACAGAGAAAAAAATAAATCTGTCTCCCCATCCTGTCTTCTCATCTTTCTTTCCATGCTGCCAGAGCAATAAATGTTATCAGTTTTAGTGTATTCTTCTAGTTATATTCCTATGCTAATATATACATGTATTATTTTTTAAATAGCACACGTATTATGCATCTTGTTCTATGCCTAACTTTTTTTCATTACCATAGATTTTAAAGCTCATTCCATATAGCAGAGAGAAACTGTTTTGTTACCATTTAATGATGGCTCAACCCTCCGCATTATAGTGTTCCACAGTTTATTTAACCTATGATCTACTTTGGCATTTAGATGGTTTCCAATCTTTGGCAGTATCAAAAAGTCTTTAGTTAATGAAGTTAGTATTTGCACATACATTGTGAGACACACTGTAAGACTAAATCTCCAAGCAGACTTGCTGGGTAAAAGGAGATATACATTTTAGATTTTAATAGATACCGTCAAGCATTTCTCCATAGAGCTTTAACTACCTCACACTCCCATCAATAAAAGAGTAAATCTCCCGCCAATATATTTACCAATTTTGTTACCAACAACTTTATGAATTTGATAAGTGAAAAAGCGGCTTTGATTTAATATTAATTCACATATTTATTATGTGTAAAGTTGAATGTCTTGTCTTAAAAATAATTTTTATTATTTTCTACAAAATCTGGCCATGTGATTTACTCATGTTTTAATTGCCTTTAATGGACTTGTAGGAGCTTTCTATATATATTTTTAATTAGGTCTTTCTCATTTATTTCCAAATATTTTCTCCTAGTTTGCCATTTATCTTCTGACTTTGTTGGTAGTATTATTCTAACAAGAGATTTTATGTAATTTATCAACATTTTATGGCTTTAAAATGTTTACATTGTTCTCATCTGAAATAATACTTAGCTTTTCAGATGAAGTGCTTGGTTTTTGAGATTTGCAGCCATATCTCCTCCAGTTAATGACAATTGTGCCTCACCTTTATATTCAGAGACCCCTTGTTAAAGACATGTATCTTACTCAGGAATATGTGGCAATTTAGAGTTATTACCCGCTCTTCCTGAAGGTGATGGTAGAAGAGTGAGTCTCTGTTTCCAAGTGCCCTGCCTTTCTTAGTATATCCTAATTTTGTATTAAGAAGTCATTTACCAGCATAGAATCAGAGAAAGCACTTACAAGATGCATACAATTATTCTTTGGGTAAAATTCCTTATACTATGTCAACAAAAACACTTATTTGGGGTCATTCCTCTAGATATGGAAAAAGTTCATCATTCTGAGACTGGAGAACTTTCAGAGATATCCCTCCTTCCATAAGGAAACACAAAGCACAAAACCAGCAAAGTTTTCAGTTACCAAAAAAATACAACAGCATCAGAGAAAGCTTCAGAACTGCTGCTGGACTTCATTATTTGGAACATGGGAAGGCCAGCAGTGGGGTGAGAGGTAAAGTTATGTCTGACCCTGGTTTTATTTGAATATGTGTGTTTGGGGAGGGTGGGGGGCACTGATGAGGACTGTCAGAGCAGGACAGCACTTGGAAGCCTCACCAGACAGCATTTATTGAAAGTCACCAGTCAAAATATTCAATATCTTTTCCCTTTGAATTTCTACCAGGCAATAAAACCGTATACTCCATTTCTTTTGTTCTCCTCATATTCCAGTTCTAGACACACAAATGCTCAACAAATTATTATAGATTAGCCAGGGATAATGATGATAGAATTGAGAACCATGCAAAATATTATCTTACTCTACACATAGCTTTTTTTGGATCATTTAGATAAAGCCTAATTTATTTGGCTAACAAGGTTAATGGCAGCATGAAAATTGAAATCCCAGCACTGATCATCCAATTTCTATTGCCAAATCATTATAATATAATTTTGTTTTTAAAAAGGAATTTTTAAAAATCCTTAATTCATTTTAAAGAAAACCATCTACTATTTCTAGGGTCCACATTCAAGTCTTCACTAAATTTATACATAAGTGGGGACAAGATTTCATGACCAAAACTCGTGTTGTGGGTGTCAATATATTAAGCTCTTCTTTTTTTTTTTTTTTTTTATGTAGGAC